ATATTGTGCGAACTTTATACTAATTCAAATATACTGTACGAAAGTAAATACTTCCAACGATCAAAAACTGCGATCGTAGTTGAGTTCTATTTCGGAACTCAGGCCAAAACAGCAGCGCCTATAACGGAAATCGACGCACACTACGATAATATCGAATCGGACGGAGCGCGCGAAATAAAGTGACACAAACTCGACTAGCGCTTGCGCGGTATTGAATTCAGATGACCAGTGCAGTGAAATATATGGTACTTTTATTTAATAAATTAAAAAATAATAGTAACAATTTAAAAAGTAAAATCATAGTATAATTTAAGCAAATGTTGCTGATTATTTTGGTATAAATTTTAAGTCAAAATAATGTAGAACTTCGTAGATATTGGGGCTTGTATCAAAGCTTTTTCGGTACTAACGTGAAGGACATATAACGAAAATGTATTTGATCATTATTAAAGTATAGGATATTTGTGAGATAAAAAATATTTTTTGATGGTCGATATTCAATAGAATAGAAATTAGAGCTGCCAAATCATGTCTCTCAGAGTTTTGGCCTAGACATGCATCGGGAGAATGATTATCACTAAAAAAAAAATAAGACATCTAATAATTGTTATTTCAAGCAACGAACGGAAAACATAATTTCAACGAGGAAACCTTGTAATTTCGCGTTGTTTTTTTTTTTGTAATACTCCTCTTAAGAAAGTTTTTGAACCTTGTGCAGGTCACATTTTGTGTATTTTCTGGGATTTTCTTGTAAAAGCGTATACATCGCACCAAGAATGAATTACTGACTCGGTGGAGTTGAGTTACTAGCACTAGTACTACTAGTTTGTGCCTGTTCTTAGTAAATGAATGATGCTATAGTCAACCAAATCTAAGAAATACCTTTTGACGTTTCACATTAATCATTCCGCAATAACTTTGCACCAGCGTACTCACACGATTTAAAGTAACCTTTTACGTAAATCCGAAGAATTATGAAGATATCTATATTTCATTACAACGTGTATAGTTTTTTTACCACTTATTTAAATTTGAATTTTTCAAACAAAGCAAAATATTAAAAAATAACCAGTATTACTTTTTTTTACTTGACGTCGTTTCAATGACATGTCGCTATGTAAATTACCGTAGTGTTTGGATGATTAAAATTCATTGTTATGCGAATAATCGATAAAATATTGAAATAATCGGTAAAAATATTCTAATAATCGAATCATTAATTTCTTTAATGTATTATTTGTCTTTAATGTTGTATTAGGAAGAATTTGGGATGTGCAAGCGGGTTTTAGAAAGAGAATGGGGTATACAGATCAAGTCTTTTCCATGCGCATGATTGCGGAGAAGTTTTTGGCCAAAAACCAGAAAGTTTTTTGTGCGTTCATGGACTTGGAAAAGGCTTATGACAGAGTGGACAGGAATGTGTTATGGCAAACACTGAACTCATATGGGTTGAGCGCTGGTTTGATACAGGCATTAAAGTCTCTTTATACGGACTCTAGTGCTTGTGTCAGGATCAATGGGGTCTACTCGGACTGGTTTGGCATCCAAAAACGTGTCAGACAGGGCTGTGTAGCTTCCCCTTGGCTGTTCAACCTATTTATGGACAGGTGTTTGCAAACTTTGAAAGATGAAGAATGTGGGTTAAGAATGGGCGAGTTAACCGTCAAATGCCTTTTGTATGCCGATGATCAAGTCATATTTGCGTCATCGGCGGCTGAGTTGCAAATGATGGTTACATTAATGAACTGGGCATTAAAAGAAAGGGGAATGAAAGTGAACGCAAATAAGACGAAAGTGATGGTTTTTGAAAGAGAGGAAAGCAAAACGGTATGTGAAATAAGAATAGAAGGAGAGTTAATTGAGCAAGTAGATGAGTTTGTGTATTTGGGATGTGTATTTAGTAGGGATGGGAGATATGATAGGGATATAGAACGACGAGTAAATGCAGGGGATAGAGTGAATGGAGCACTACACTCTATTATGAAGAACCAGAATGTGTCCAAAAAGGCACGTATGGTAATTCATAATGCTGTGTTAGTCCCTACTTTAATGTATGGTAGTGAAAGCTGGGTGTGGCAGAAGAAGCACGAAAGTAGAATAAATGCTGTAGAAATGCGGTCTTTAAGGAGTATGCTAGGGTTGAATCTGAATGACAGGGTGAGAAATTGCGTGATAAGAGATAAATGTGGTATGCAAGATGATGTTGTGACCAGGATTAAGAAAGGAATGCTTCGGTGGTTTGGTAATGTGGAAAGAATGAATGAGGAAAGAGTGACAAAGCAAATTTATATGGCAGATGTGAACGGCCGAGTTGGGAAGGGACGCCCTAGAAAAAAGTTTATCGACCAAATTGGCGATATTTTGAAAAGGGGCCACGTTAGAAGTACCCTTAACCGACGAGCATGTATGAGTAGATATGTGGATGTAAAGGAGGCGAAAGAGGTATGCCAGGATCGTGCCAAATGGAAGTCCATAGTCTCTGCCTACCCCTCTGGGTGACAGGCGTAAAGTGTTTATGTATGTATTACGTATGTATTATTTGTTTAATTTAGTTTTTATTTTCAAAATTCCTTAAATTACATGAATCATGAATAAAACAAGTTTTTTTTTTTTCAGTTTGTCAAAGTAAATTTTTGTAGGAAAAAAACTCATATACAAGGCCGTGCTAAAATAACCACTACATAATTTCAATATCACGCCATTTCGATACCAGTTACTCGGCTCCACAGAATCAGTAATTCATTTTTGAGGCGATGTATACGCCTTTATAACAAAATGCCAGAAAATATACAAAATTTGACGTAAGTACACAAAGTTCAAAACTTTATTAAACTAAGTTTGTATAAAAAGGGTTATTTTAATATTGAGGAATTTATGGGTGATAACAACCCCTGGGAAGGGATGATCGCTACCAAGCTATTTCTAATTTGTTTTGTGTTGTTAATTGTAACACGCATGATTGTAAGCTCTTTTTTTTAAACTAGTCCCGTTGGGTTTCTTACTGGTTCTTCTCAGGACAGAGCTTTTCGAACCTGTGGTAAATGAAAAAAGGGACTTTCAATAAGTATTATTCATAGTCTATATTGAATAAAAAATTTCTGTTTCGAGAGCTTACTGTGCGTAATTTTGTAATTTTGTGTTTGTCTTCTTATTTTGTGACTCTGCTTTAACTTTTTGGACTGTTTCTTCTATAATAACATTTTGTACGTAGCAGAGCCACGCTACATCTATATTATAGTTGTAGCACGAATGGGTTGGCTCAACCAGGGCAGGACCACGCTCTCACAGAATACCAACGTAAAATAGCAGCGTAATGCTTATGTGTTTCATATGGTGAGTATGAAGAACCAGAGACCCTTTTTACTGGAATCGAGGCATTCCATTTTAGTCCTCAGGGGTGACAACGCATTTGCATTTCGATTCTTAATTGAGGATAAATGTGTATGTCTACGGGCCATAACATCCACTTACCATTAGGTGGACTGTGTGCTCGTTTGTCACCCAATGCTATAAAAAAATCGTTGAAGCATGTGCCCTTGTCACAAAGGATGACTGCGCATAAGTGGCAGAAAAAACAAAAAATTATTATGGATGACTTTGAAAGACGCATTAATTTTGACTGCATTATTGAAAATCAAATAATAATTAATAAACAACGACATGCCTACTAGTTGTACTGAAAGTGATTGAATAAATTTATTTTTAATCTAGTTTAAATCTTAAATTTTTATAACTGTGCCTCTAGAAATAAGCAGTAACAACAAATATGAATAAACTGATAAATCTTGTGTTATAAATTGTCCGTGTTTAATTTATTCTGGTATTATTCAAACCAAACTGTAAATGATTACCAACTCTAAATAATCGATATCGATTTTTAAGAATCGAATATTGTACGTTCCGATTTTTTGGTAGGCATGCTTGGTGCAATAAGTTTCACAGCTGTCAAAATGTATTTCTTAGATTTGGTAGACTATTATCAAAAGAAACAACCTTTTTTTTTTTTTTTTTTTTTAGGAAAAGTTTTTAATTTTTTTTTTGTAAATTTAAAAAAAAAAATGTAAATACAGGGTATTGTACGACCGTAGCAGTTGTAGATGGGTTCAAGAGTGCGCAGAGTGAAAAATTTAATATTTTTAAGACTTTTTTTATGCCAATAAAATATTTTCAAACGTTTTAATAATTCATTCTAATTATTTTTTCATCCAAAACTTGACACTTGCGCCATTTTTTATCATTTTGCTTTTGATGAACTTTTGTTTTCTTATTTTGAACAAAAAATTATTAATTTGAAAATTAAAATAATTAATTTAAAATTTACCCTGCTGCTATTGTAGAGCCACCCTAATTGAACGCATTTCGACGGAAACTTTTTCCATATTCCCATACACCCTCAGTATTCGGCAGAAAGAAAATAAATTAATCATACACAACTCTTTTTTTTTAAACGTGGTAGAGCCATGCTGCAGTTATATTAGTAGTGTTGCGCGCCTAAGTTACTAATGTGTATTTATAGGCGCTGCAAGGTGGGATCGGGGAAGTATTGAATTTGGCGAGACAAGCAAAGCTTCGGAGCGGAATAAAGTGAACCAGTGTGATTAATTATTGGTGTTTTAAGTTTAATTAGTGTAAAGTGAATTAAAGAGTTAATTTAGGTAATTCTATCGGCAATTTTTATTGTCACGAACCTCAAGCTCGTAACAGTAGTATAGTGGTATCACGAATGGGTCGGCTCGACCGGGGAAAGACCACGCTCTCACAGAATACCAGCGTGAAATAGTAGCTTAATGCTACTGTGTTTCGTATAGTGAGTATAGAGAACCGGAGACCCTTTTTGCTGGAAACGAGGCAATCCATCTTAGTCCTCACAGGTGACAACGCATCTGCATTTTGAATCGCATAAGAGGATAGAAGTAGATGTCTATGGGCCACAGCAACCACTTACCATCGGGTGGACTGTGTGCTCGTTTGTCACCCCATCCTATAAAAAAAACTCTTACCCGTGCAATGCACCTCTCAAGCGCGGCAGCAAGAGAGTCTCGCACTGCAAGTTGATACTCTCCTCACTTTCCTTGTATTTCACGACTCCGTTCTCCATCTCCCTCCGCAACAGAGTGATCTCTTTCGGGTGCGCGATCTTGAGACGGAAGACGTATCCATCCACTAGTACGTCGACGTGAGTCGGATATGGTTGCGTTGGCAGGGAGAATTGTTTCGAGAGGCGATCCGCGATCTGTATATTGAAGGCCGCTTTCAGACAGCGGAACGCTTCGATGTCACCCGGCCATTTGCCACTGTGACCTAGTGAAGGGAAGTAATTAATATTAATATGAATAAATCAATAGACCAATATAATAGATTTAATTTAATCAATATTAGCAACCCGCCCCGGGTTCGCGTAGATTGGATCCATTAAGTGCGGTGTGATTTATTCTTAAGATAATTATATAATAATTGCTAAGAGGTGGATGTGTGTTACATTGGTAGTGTTGCTGCTTGTTTGCATACTTTGGTGTTATCATGTATTTATGTCCTTCACGTTACACAAGTATGTGATTGTTTTGGAGAGATATTATAAGGCTAGTTCGATTGTGTTGTGTTCTATACTGAAAGTGTAGTGCAGTACACTCATTCCTGATCATTAACTGCATATGCAAGTGAACAAGTTAAACATCCGTTCTCACACATTATATACACATATATATACAAGATAAAATCTGTATAACGACACTCAAGGGACTGTGCATATTTTGACGTTATAGAGATTTGTCGTTAAATGGAAAGAAGACAAATTTGTATTAGAAAAAGAAAAAGTATATAAACAAAATCACAACACTTTTTCGTTTTCACAGTGACTTTGTTTTAGTTGCCATGTTTACAGTTTGAAAGTCTGTGAGCAACTAAGAATATGATAACGTTTAGATAATTCATGACAAAACAACGGATTTCTTAGAGTTTGGTGTGTATGTGTATGATGTCGACAGTCGAGTTTATTACGGGCTAGGATATTAAAGCGATAAAGAAAAGAACGTACACAGCTGTGCAGTTTTTACCGATTTTTGTAATTTAAAATGTATTTTTTATTATTTAATTGTTGTCGTTGTTTAGAGTGGGTGTAATGCTACGTAGAGTCCATCATTGTATGGAAGACAAGCTAAACCAACCTAAGCCGAGTGATTTCGATGCTTTATGGAGTTTTTCGTTAAATCGAGTGACACAGTGACAATTATTTTATTAATTTTGGATACAAGATAATCATTTTACGATTTCACAATAAAATCTTTACGTATTTCGGATAAAATAAGGCCTAAATTACTTTATATGAATAACTATTTTAAAATATTTATATTTGTCTGTTCGGATTACTCTTTGGAATGGCTGAATAAATTGCAAATAAACTTCATGAACAGATAGACAGCAATACCAGAATGGATCAGGCTATATTTTAAGCGAAAAACTTCGACTTCGAATGGTCTTTATCTCAAATATTAACATCCTGTCATATACTGGCGAAGCCCCGGGGGGGGGGGGGCTTATAAATAAATAAATAGCTGACCTAGTTCGAGTACTGCGGTATGTGCTGGAGTGTAAGGTGGCAGACGTGCTTGCGGCGTGTCTTTTAGTAGTGCAGAGCTGCCGCGTCTTCGAATGTTCTGCATACTGCGAGCCGCGGGAACCACGTTGCAGCTGCAGCTGAACACTTCTGACACGCCTGCCATCATAAAAAAAAACCATCCTTCATATACGGTTGGGCAAAAAAATATTCGATATATCAAAATATATCGTCGATATTTTTAATCGCGATATATGAATATTCGATATTTATTTTAGAGTATCGAATTCGTATCAATTTCAATATATTTTAAAATTTTATTTTAATAGTAAATAGTAAGTGTTAAAACATCCTTGTGCTGTTGTTTTTTTTTCGCTGTCCAACCGTCCAGCAACAAAAATTTCGGCTTTATCCTACTAAATCATCAATTTTATCATGTGATATACATCGATACTGTTTAAAAATATCGATACTGCATATATATCGATATACTTCTTTCACTTGCCGATCCTTACCTTCATTCAACTCTCTAATAATACGTGGTAGAGAAATTCTGCAGTTACAGTGAATGATTTCATTTACCGTATGAAAAAAAATTGGGTGTAATAAGTGAACGGAATAAAAGCCAATGGCACTGACATTTTACAATTTTTTGCTGTTACAATAACATAATATAAAATAATATGTTAACGTAAAAGCAAAATCCAGACCTATACGACTTAAGGATCTTCATAAAAAGTGCTTACTCCTTTCTAAAAGGCCGGCAACGCACTGCAATTCCCCTAGTGTTGCGGTTGTTTATGGGCGGCGGTAATCACCTATCTATAAAAAAGGGATCCCCGGTTGCATTCCCAATGGAGATCCCAGAACCTCTCGAATACGGATATGGAGACCACCGTAGGGACCTTCGGTAAAATTCCGGTATAACCTTTATACGGCATCCATGAGGATTACCCCTGAATAAAAAAATGTTTTTAGCACTAACGGGTGGGCTCGACCGGGGAAGGACCGCGCTCTCACAGAATAGCGGTGTGAAATATCAGCTTGCTGTTGCGTTTCGTGAGGTAAATGTGAGAAACGAAGATCCTTTTAACTGGAAATGAGGCATTCCATCTTAGTCCTAAAGGGTGACAATGCATCCGCCATTTAGATTCATAAACGATAATAGATGTAGATATCTATGGATCACAGCATCAATTAACCATCATGTGGACTGCAGACTAGTTTGTCACCCTTATTCTATAAAACACCTATCAGTAGACTTAACCAAGTTTCAATCACCTGAGATGCCTCGTGTAGAGGCGAAACACGTGTACTATCGTCGATGGTGTGTCTTTCCTAGAATAGTGGTGTTGGGAGTAGTGGTGCTGGAATTAGTGGTGACAAGATTAGTGCACGCAATTAGGGAGGGCGGGAGGTGCTCTTCAAACTAGGTAAGACACATCATTTTATTTAATTGAGCGGATGGTTGCAAAGTAACTATTAATATCTTTACTATAATGGATTTCCGCAAAGTAACGCCTGATTCTATCAATTATCTTAACCAAGTTTGTTTCGAACCCCCGACGCAGACAGAGGATTTTTATTGTTTTTATTTGATTGCTTATAATATTAAGGGTGTTATTCGTTTAACATGCGTATCTGTGTTTCTATCTGTAACATCGTAGCACAAAAACTATTAAACCGATTTTGATTCAGTTTTCTTTTTTCTCTTTCTTTCTGTCCAACCGTTTGGAGGTCATCTCTTTTCTAGTTGATGAAAGAATAAGAGCAACTTTCAAAAGTCAGATTGATTTGAAGTTTGGTATCCTGTTAATTCAATGATATTGCAAGTACACTGTAGCCTTGTCCTTATGCTGAGACGTCGCCTGGAATCTGCAGGATACTTAACTCTTTACCCACTTACGGCGGAGTTATCGTGTTTGGCCCCATTGAAATTTTAATGATCGTGGTCAGAGTCTGAAGATGGAGCAGGAAAGCAAAATAAGAACGTGAGGGTTATTTCACTGAAGGAATCAATAAGTAATTTTTCTTCAACTTAAATTTAATTTTTGTATGCTTCGTTCTTAGATTAAGTGTTTTTTGTGACTACAATTTGTAAAGCTTACATCTTCATCATCACATTACAGCCTTTTGCAAGTCCACTGCTGAACATTGGCCTTTCCCAAGGAATACCACAAAGCACGGTCCTGAGCCACCTGCATCCATCGACTTCCCGCATCTCTCATCAGGTCGTCACTCCATCTAGTGGGGGCCGCCCTACACTTCGCCTACCGGTACGAAGCTGTTACTGAAGCATATATTTTGCTTGTGCCTAAATAAATAAATAAACCAAAGCATCAAGCGACCGTAAACAGCGCTGATGTGTAGCGGCAGCTGTTCCAGGTCGCGCAGGTCTCGCCGCAGCCGGTCGAAGGCCTGCAGCGCTCGCACACAGCTCTCCTCGACGCTCTCGCGACCAGCACTTCGTGTCACCAGCAGACCATCCAGCTGCTCGCACACATGGAACATTTGCGTCGGTGGAACACCTGAGAAATATTGTACGATTCACTGGATTCTGCATTTTTATTCATAGTCGAAGATCACAGAGAAGGTTCAAAATAAGTAATACAGGCGAAAAATTAATTTAAAAAAGTCTCAAACATTCTGCACTTTATATCTTTTGGTTTGAGAAAGCGTGGTAATGCATTATTTCAACTGATTGTCATTCATAAATATCTAACGCATACTATTTTACTACGCACGCACACATTCGTGGAGGTCGCTCGGTCGGCAAAAACGTTGTGAATTGAATTGCACACAGAGGAGCGCACGTACACGTGGCTGTTGCCCATAAATCACCTCCAATTTGGGATTCTTTTAAAAAGCCTTATTTACTCGTATTTTTTAAAACGGTATACCATTACGTTATTGCATCTCTTTGCATTTTCTTTCGCATATACCATGGGGAGTGCTCTGAGGAATTGTTCAGTTTAATCCCAGCCGCCAAATTTCGTGAACGCACTACGCGGCATACGTCCCGATACCATCCACACCATCTGGATGCTTGGCGGTCCACCACTGTACGTTTCAAAAGGAGTTTTCTTCCGCGTACGACCTCTCTGTGGAATAGTTTACCACCGGCGATTTTTCCGGACCGATACGACCTGGGGACCTTCAAGAAAAGAGCTTACTCCCTTCTAAAGGGCCGGCAACGCACCTGCAATTCCCCTGGTGTTGCGGTTGATCATGGGCGGCGGTAGTCACTTAACATCAGGTGAGCCGCATGCTCGTTTGCCCCTCTTCTATAAAAAAAAAGATACGTACGTTATATAATTATTTATACATTTGAAATTAAATATAAAATTTGGATATTCTTCGAAAAATAACTCTATGCTTGTCAGCCACTCTCACTTTTTATAGAATAAGGTGACCAACCCACAGTCCACCTGATGGTAAGTGGATACTGTGGCCCATACATATACATCTATCCTAAAGAATAAAAATTAAATTACAGCTATATTATAGTTGTAGCACAAATGGGTCGGCTCAACCGGGGCAGGACCACGCTCTCACAGAACACCAGCGCAAAATAACAGCGTAATGCTGCTGTGTTTCGTATGGTGAGTGGCCGTGAACCGGAGACTCTTTTTACTGGAATCGAGGCATTCCATCTTAGTCCTCAGGGTGACAACGCGTTTGCATTTTGATTCTTATTTGAGGATAAATATGGATGTCTATGGCACAGAATCCACCTACCATCAGATGGACAGTGTACTCGTTTTTCACCCAATGCTATAAAAAAAACTATATAGTTGCAGCATAGCCCTACCACGTGTAAACAATGCAGTGTAGAAGGTTGACTTCTTTTATAAAGACGAATTACATCAGCAAACATCTTGAGTAGTTGCGACATATACTGTGTAGATAACCCGCTGAAGGATTTTTCACGCATGGTCAAGTTGTTTGCCAGCAAGTTGTTAATTTTTTAAAACAAATTAAATTCAAAGCTTGAATTTATCAAAACACTAGGTGCTTACCTACATACAGACAGTGTGTATTTAATACTTTATAGTAAGAAGAATATGCCTTAAAATCATAGCGAAGATCTAGACGCTCGCAGTAGTAAAATTATACCGTATTTGAATTTCATGAGGTAGTCGACGATCTGCTTGGGCAGAGCTCGTCTCTCGGCCGCGCTGTCCGCGGTCCAGACACAAGCCTCTGTGATCGAGCCGTCCTGGAAACGACGCAGTTCAGACTTCTCTCCCCAAAACGCCCTGAAATATTCACCAACAGGTCTTTAGTATAATATGGCCAGCTCATGGACACCGGCAACCGGACGCAAACAAAAAAGGTTGTATAACGGGTTTCACCTCTGAGGACTCAGAGTAATCAACAGGGGATCTCAAATATACAATATGAAAAAAATAAAATGAAAAATACTTTATTTGACAGTTAGCACCTTTACAAATAATATAGCAGTGGGTCTCACACTAGGCACGTAGACCTGTATCGTGAGAGCCATATACACATATTATCAGAAAACAGAAATTTGTGCACGGCTGACTTTACAAAGCTTTCCCTTTAAATATATGCACGATTTCATTATGTCATAAATATAAAAATACTTAAATATATATACATATATAATATATATATATATATATATATATATATATATATATATATATATATATATATATATTATATGTATGCATATGTATTATTATATATATATACATATGCATACATACATATACATACATACACAAACATAAATATTATAATTTGTTAATATTACAGTATTTTGAATTTGCAATTACTGCTATAATAACAATATCAATATCAATATTGGGCATGTAGCTGCTATGACAATGTTCGAAACAGCTTTTCTGTTTGTTCATAACTAAGCGTAAGCAACCAATTTCGAGCAATCTCTTATGTCTATTCTATTATGCCTTCATAACCTTATTATAAATTAGTGTTTCAATGAATGGACTAAATCGTTTTGCGAAAGCTGTGCGAACGCTTGGTAATGGCATTTGAAACACACGTTTTTCCATCAGCTCACTGTATTTATGTGAGCCTAATATTTTTCTATGAACACATGTAGTCACACATAGACAAATAGCTGCCGAACTGTAAGTACTTTAATAAACTAAGTACACGAAGTAACAACTTTTTATTATAATAAATTCTCAGTAGCAGCTCGTAGAGAAGTTGACGCTCTGTCGCATACACCAAAGCCGTCATCGGCCGAAGTTTGCACGGGCGACAACGGCCGAACTCGGACGATCGAATCAGACACTTGTAAAACAAAGAGAGCGCGTACACATACACGACCCGTCATCGTCCGATAACGCACGAAAACGGCCGATCAACCGTCGCATCCGAACTTGTTGGGATTTCTCGCCCGACTGCCGGCGTCTACAGTGCAAATTGAGTGTATTTATAGTTCAATTTAATCATTTTGTCTTTATTCTGTTGTTTCTGTTAGTGTTTTTTTTTCTCCAAATGACTTCTCTGGATACTGAAAATAGAAAAATAGAAAAGAATACCGGCAACGTCCAATGTAGGCACAAGTGATATACTGTTGCAGTGTAAGCACATACACGTCCGAGTTACTCGTCCGGGTAGTTCTGTCCGCCATCGACCGACAAAATCGGTTTTGGTGTACACGTACCGTAAGTCTATGTAAAGTCGTTGGTCCTGCGCCTGATCTCTTTACGGTCGTGCCGGATTACCCTCGCGTTGGACTATGAGAGTGAGGGTATAGAGAGAGGCCTATGCTTGCGCTTACATTTGGGCACTATAATCCTGTGCTGTGCAGCTGACTAGTCTCCATGGACGTTGGCCGCCGTAACCGAAATTCGGCCTAGAGGACATTATTATTATACGTGGTAGAGCCACGCCGCAGTTATATTATGGTTGTAGCACACATGGCACGGTTCGACCTGGACCAGCATTAAATAGCAGCTTAATGTTGTTTTGTTTTATATGGTGAGTGTAGAGAACCGGGGACCCTTTTTACTGGATACAAGGTATTCTATCATGGTTATCAGAGGTGATAACGCATCTGCATTATGGCTCTTAATCGAAGTCATATTTAGATGTCTATGAACCACAACATTTGCTCACTATCAGGTGAGCATAGAAAAGCTTGATTTTTTTACATAAAAGGTAAACAAACATACGGATCACGTGATGGTAAGTGATCGCCTATCACCCATAAACATCTGCAACATTAAAGAAATTGCAAGTGCGTTTCGGAAAAATTTCGGAATTTTTATGTCCTTAACTCATAAGAACACTATAAAAAAAATTATGACTATAATAAATCATAATGAGAAAATCAGAACCCAAGTCGTATACTACATGGTAGATATCCATTTAAGATTATGATGACAATGAGTTGCATCGCTAAGTGTCGTGGGTTAAGCAATTTATGTATTTAAACTGTCTCAACAATATTATGCATGTCGAGCCAACCCATTCGTGCTACAACCATAATATAGCGGCAACGTGACTTTACCACGTAATTGTATAAATATTGTAAAAATGTATATCACGATAAAATCAAGTGGGTCCTACCCTACACTTGCAAGGAATTGGTTGTAGTTTTAGCTCGTATCATAAGTTTATAAGTATAGTATGTTTATAAGTATGTAAGATTATAATGCGCTGTAAACTCGTTACTATTACCTAATATCATGTTGTGTGCACATGTTTTGAAATACCATTAAACTTTGCATTTATTATGTTCAATTGTTCATGTTTTGGTGTTATTCTGTTTTGTTTACTTAAATAAATAAATAAATAAAAATGATTCTATGCCAGTGGTAGAGCTCGACCGAACGTCGGTGCGTTCATCGGTCGCGCTTTGTATGAAAATTCACAAGTCGTTACAGTGTTCGACCGACCGTACGCACGCGTATATAGCTACGCACTGCGTACGAGGATCGTCGGTCGAGCGCGTCCACATGCGTACCGTCGGTCGACCGACGCACTATGGAAACATATTAACGCGATAAATTACCTGAATTCCTCAGACTCGGGGAGATTTGCTGGTGGTCCTCTATCAACTATGTTAGTCACATTCACCGAGTTCAACACTAGACCGAAAGATAACTTTTCTTCATATCTAAAACAAAATGCAACAAGTGGTAAAATTAAAATTTTTGTACAATCGACTTCAATATAGTAAATAAAATGAGAACATCATCAATGTAGTCGAAGTCAATTAAATACGCATTATTAAGGATAATTTAAAGACTACTGATCAGATCTTGATCAAATTTATATGGAACTACTACATGAGAAGCACCAGCTTTCAAACTAAAAAAGAATCATCAAAATCCTTCTAAAATCCACCTAGAAAACAGTTCAAAGGTTACACACATAGAAAAAATACAGTTGAATTGAGAACCTCCACCTTTTTTTAAGTCGGTTGATAATAGGAAGATCATTAAGGATTTCTCAATATCTTCTAATGTCCAATCTCAGGAGACAATTGACCTTGAACTCTTAAAGTGGGAAATAAAAAGTGTTATGTAATAGGTAACAAAAGCTCTGTGGTTTCCACATAAGTGCATTATCCGAATAAGTATTCAAACACAAAGAAATAACTTTAAAAACTCAACCATAAAAAAATTGTATGTGGTTTTATTTTATTATATTGGCTTTTAATTTCCACAGCAACACATGACCAAGTACAGTATAGTGTCAAATCTTCAAATGAAACACTTACCCATGTTTAATTTTGTCTACATTTTTATTTACAGGCCAAGAAAAGTCCGCCTCAACCAGCTGCAATATCAAATCCACTCTGTTTCCAAGACCTCTACTTAGTAAATCGTAAATAGTGTCTGTGACCAGGGCTAATTGATTCACACCATAGTTAATTTTGGATGTGTTTGGGACTTTGTTTAAAACACTCTCTTTGAGTTTGGAGAGATTCTTAAATCTGGAACAATATGTAATGATTAGTACTATCTACTGTTCTGCCTGGAAGACCATCTAGGTATATATCAACATCTCGATAGCTATCACCATCTAGCTTTAAGCAGCATAGCAATTGTTTATAGTATAAGGGAGATAAACAAGCTCACAGTCCACCTGATGGTAAGTGGTTACTGTGGCCCATAGACGTCTACTTCTATCATCGATTATGAATCAAAATGCAGATGCGTTGTCACCCGTGAGGACTAAGATGGAATGCCTCTTTTCCAGTAAATAGGGTTTCCGGTTCCTTACACTCACCATACGAAACATAGTAGCAATTACTATTTTACGTTGGTATTTTGTAAGAGCGTGGTCCTTCCCTGGTCGAGCCGACCCATTCATGCTACAACTATACTACTAATATAGCTGCAGCATGTCTCTACATTCACGTTACAAAATGCAGTCTGAATGGTACAGAGAGACAGGATTATAGTGCCCAAGTGTACGCACAAGCACAGGTGCAATCTCTATTCCCTCACTCTCATAATGCGAGGGGACGGTAAACCGACACGACTGGAGAGAGATCAGGCACAACACCAACGGCTTTACTTGCTTTCCGAGGCACGGGGGTAACGGACACGGCCAACTTCGTGACTCCGGGCAGCTACTGAGAATTTCTTGATGGAAAAACTTAATAATTAATTTTTGGCCCGACCTGGGATTCGAACGCAGCACCAGTCAGTCAGTAGAGCAGCCGCACTACCACTAGACCATTGAGGTAGTCATTTTATATAACCGTGTAGTAGCGGTGTAAGACTATCCACTATCGTCCTGAGGGTGTCGTAAGAGGCGACTGAGGGAAAATGAAACAGGAGTTGGGCAGCAGCATCTTCCTGATAACAACTCAAAATAATAAAAAAACTGCAATTGCTAACTCTCTTGCCAAGCGTGGCAGCTGTGGCATAATCCCCCCACGAGGCAATCTGTGAGGGAGGCCTATGTTCAGCAGTGAACTTTTATAGGCTGTAATAGAATGGATAGATTACACATAATAGTATTAAAATTACCTTATAACATGGTCGAATTGCATTAAAGGTTGCACAGGAGTCATAAACAGTGGTATAAAACTATTTATTTTAGGATTATCTAACATTTCGATAGCCAAAGTACACTCTCTTTTCATTGCATTGTAAGTCCCTTTGTGCATATTCCAACAAAGGTTATAGTAACCAGATTTATCAACAAATACTACTGGAAAGTTTTGTTCAAACTCCTCGAGGGATGGTGCGGGAGCTGATCCTTTGTATAATGAAATGCCTTTTGTGTCCCACTCTGAAGATTCTAAAAATGTAACCAAATAAAGTTAAAGATTTTTTTTTTGAAAAGATGAAATAGTGTAGAGAGAAAAAAATTAATGTTATAGTAGAAAATGAAGTGGTGGCATAATCGAATCTAGGATCCCAATTAACAAAATTTGACAATAAAGAAATATTTAAAAGAAATAAAAAAAAGTATGAAATGTGGTTGCTGGATAATTGTATGTGTAATTAGTATTAAATTAACAATTAATATTAAATCAAAAATAATAGTTATAATTCATAAGTTTAAACACAGAATATAATACATATATAGTATTCTATGAGTTTAAAAAAGATGAGGTATGTAAATAACATTATAATTTTAAGTTTAAATCCAAGACTGGCAATTAATTACAGAATATAGAAAAGTATGTAAGTGGGTGATGTAATTTGCCAACAAACTTCACTACAGTTTGGCGAAAGTAGTTTATGTAATAAAAAAAATCATGCAATAGATGTTGTAGAGGCGTGAATAGATGGTGGTATGTCACAAAAACACTTAACAGACTTGTATAGATTTTATGATTGCATACCATCTTATTTACGCCAAATATAAAAAACATGCAAGAGGCGGTAGCATCAAAGTTACAAGATGATTGTAATTGGAAATGAGATTGAAATGTAATGACACTGTAAAAATACCAGATCTGTAGGATGATGCTGAAATAATGTGTATGTTTTTTTCATAGGATAAAGGTGGCAAACAAGCACAGTCCACCTGATGATAAGTGGCTGCTGTACCCCATAGACATGTACATTTATCCTCAATAATGAATAAAAATGGCAGACACATGTCATTCATGAGGACTAAGATAGAATACCTCGTTTCTGGTAATAAGGGTCTCTGGTTCTCAACACTCACCATAAGAAACATAGCAGCGTTCAGCTGCTATTATACACTGGTAGTCTGAGAGTGTGATCCTTCCCCAGATGAACCTACCGATTTGTACTACTACATACTATACTACTTATATAACTGCAGCATGGCTCTACCATACAATGTAATTAAAATAAAAGTCATTTCTAGAAAAACCACTGTCACCTGAGTTTTAGACATGGAGCCCATTATATAATTTACAACGCAATGATATATTAGGTAAATCAATCTGTTAAAATACTCAAAAGATATTCATGTGACAGGTTGTCCTATTTCTAGTCAATAAAAAAACAGTCACCTTATACACGAACATGCCATGTTGGAGCCCACTGGCATCAATGAAATGGTTAAATTAAAATTGTAAAATTATATGATTGCTTTATATTGAGTGTAGATTTACGACATGCTAAGTAGTGAAGGAAAAAATTGTGTAGTACCCGCATGTCTGAGATATAAAAATATTTCAGACATGTTGTGAACTCTGCCAACGCACGCTGGAGCAGTGTGGTAGAGAACTTGCTCCATATATCTCTCAAAAATGATAGGAGCCTGTGCACAGCAATGAGACTAATATAAGGCCTATATATTATCTTATTATATACTCTTTACTTTCATTTTACTCGTAACGAGCATTTAGATACATAATATATGAAATAATTAAATCAGTCAAATTCTTTGATTATCTTTACATATAATTCTTCTGTCCATGCGTAAGTAACTGAGCTTCTCCTAAAAAGATGGACTGATTTTATGAAATTTTGTGTGTGTGATTAAGTTGATTCAAGAATGGTTTAGATTCACTATTGTAGCTAGTAGGCAGCACTGTTGTCTAAATTCAGAAAACACACACAAGAAGCCAGGGCAGATCATTTTATGTAAAATACTAGTACTTCAGATGACACATCAAAAGACTTTTTAACCCTTTAGCCCCTAAGCGGTTGAATTCGACCACGGCGCTATTCCATCAATATTCAAGCGATCGAAATCGACCATACACACCCACAGCACTTTAAACCATTAAAACTTATATTTAGAGACTACTTTTCTATGAAGAAGCTTGGCATTATAGAATCAATACGAAATTTTCTATCCTCTAGTGCAATATAAAATAGTTATGCTATGGATATTTATTTATAATCTACATTCATTTCATACGCCATTTTCGCGTGAATGTTATTGTGTTGATTTTTGGATTTTTCTAGTGTTTTATTAGTGTTTTAGTATAGTGTTTTATTATAAAATTCGACATTCGCTTGGTATGTTTTGTTTTTATTATTAAAATACAATAGTCTTTTTGTAATGAACTGAAACCTGACGTTTATATAGAGAATTTTGTATAGATTTTATAATGCCAAACTTCTTCATGGAAATGTAGTTTCCAAATATAAGTTTTAATGGTTTTAAGTGCTGCGGGTGGGTGCCGTCGCATGCGACCACTCGGTATTTACCAGGCGCATGCAACTGCATTAGAATTGTAGGGGGACTGAGGGGTTAAATCTACAACAGGACATCTGTTTTTGACAAGAATGCACCAACTGGCATGTATACGCCTGTGAGTTGCTCTACTTACTGATAAGAGAAAGCAGAGACAATATTCTCACTTTTGTAATTCTGTTCTAATTTATCAATTTTCAAAATTTCTTCAACATTTTTTGCTCAGTTTTTCTAATTTTGGTCATTCGCTAGAGACTTATTTTATACCTTATCGGTGTGAAGGTTTTAAAAAATTTTCATATTCTGAAAAATAAAAATTATCAAACTGTACTTACTGAGTGCTATCCAAACATTCCTTATAATCTGATAGCTGCTCATAATGTTGTTGATTCTCTTTATCTGGACCAAATATGCAACAAACATGCTTATCACATATCCCGAAACTAGCAGTTTCCTTTGTCTTAACCATATCTTCAACAAAACCACAGCCTGTTTCAAATTATCTCGGTTTGCAAAAGTTTCATTTAAAAATTCTTGATTAACTTTACTAATCAAGTCACATAATATGCTGCTATTGTAATATGGTGTAGGTGGCCCTACATCGAAGTTGTTTTCTGCATTTTCACTACCAAATAACCATGCTTCTCTTAGATTATTGCGTAATGGACTAAATCTGTGCAGTTTATATGCCTCAGAATCACAAACTAAATTAATCTGGACCGATAAGCTATTCCCTAACTTTCCAGTTGGTTTGACGTATAGAATGGGCTTGGTGTGACAGCCATTTAAATAAATATATTTTAACTCTTCAATAATTTCTAGGTTTTTAAGTTGTGAAGCAATAAAAGCTAAATATGCAGCCCGTTTTTTATGATACCTGTAGTTTATGGAGTCATTTTTAGTATATGTGTCAGCTGGGACTGTGATTTGTATATCAACAATAAATCTTGAGTTTATTGAGGTGTCTAGAGCATATGAGCCAACAATCTCCACATCTTGAAACTTATGAAATTTAAACATACATTTTGTTTTAATTAAATCGTTACCCGTTGGTGATTTTACTTTGAGATGTTTAAAAACTTTGTTTTCACTCAAATCATACTCTGTATCATTTTCTGGAATGGAAAGTAAATGCTCTTTAAAAGTGTTAAACCACTCTTGGAAACGCTTTACATTTTTTTCCTTGACTTTGACTTCATCCAGAACTTCCTCTATTTGAAGGCGAAACAAATTCGAGTTGAACAAATTCTCGGTCTCCTGAAGCCGGTTTAATTCCTTCACAGTTGGTTGTCTATACAAATTTTTTGTTTTGAGACGCTTCTTGCCTTCTTTGTTTTGTGCATCTACGGGTCTTTTACCATTTTCATTAAGTACGGAAGACTCTTCATCGAGTTCATCGGAAACTGAACTAGTTTTTTCCTGAAATAAGATATAAACTGATTTGTTTATAGAACAAATGTTAATCTAAAAAAATCACTTTAAATAAAAACGAAGACATGAAGGAAACAATTTAATAAACTTACTCTTTTCACCATATTCAACCAACGTATAAATACGCTCAAAAATAATATAAACACAACTACTTTTTGGTTATAAAATTAAAAACAATGTGCGTTGTTAACATGCAGTTATTTTGACATTTGACTTGACAATTTGACATTTCTTCTTAGTTTGCGGTTCGGTGCTGCCAATCAAAAGTTTAGCTCGGAGGTAGATATGATAATACGATTTCGGAAGTTGAAAGTTTCCCACCAATCCTACTTTGAAAACTTAGTAGATTTACTACTTATATTTTATAGCCCCTCTACACGTTGGGCCAACGCGATGGCCCACTATGATGGGCCAACGTGTGGAGGGCGTAGTTGTGTCGGATGGCTTATGGCGCATGCGATGGTCTCGGGATTGGCGACGGTGTCGGTTTTTCCACCGCACATCAAAGGGTAGTGGGCCAACGATGGCGGTACGCATCTACACGTGGCCCATTCCACAGTTGTGCGTGCTTGACTGTTGAGTGTGGACGTTCGCGCTTTGTTTATAAATTAACGAAAATTAATTAAAATGACGAATACGTGGCCTCATAACGAAGTTATAAAACTTTTAGAATTATATCGGGGAGAAAGCGTGATATGGAATCCAACACATAAAAAACACAAAGATAAAATAAGGAAATATGTAGTTTTATATACCTACATATATATAAAAATTTAGGGTTTATATATATTTAATAGGGTTATGGATAAAATCACCATTTTTAAGTAATTATAAACCCAACACAGATGACAAGTACAATTTTAAAGATTATTTGTACTCGGTAACGCCACGCTGCAGCTATATTACGGTTGTACCACGAATGGGTCGGCTCGACCGGGGAAGTACCACGCTCTCACAGAATACCAGCGAATAGCAGCTTAATACTGCTGTGTTTCGTATGGCAAGTGTAGAGATCTGGAGACCCTTTTTTACTGGAAACAAGGCATTCCATCTTAGTCCTCATGAGTGACAACGCATCTGCGTTTTGGTTCTTAATTGAGGATAAATGTAGATATCTATATCTATGGGCTACAGCATCCACTTACCATCAGGTGGACTGTGTGCTCGTTTGTCACTCTTATTCTTTAAAAAAATAGTTATTTTAGGTCTTCTTCTACGCTATTTCTTTTTAATAACTCTATTCTTGTGCACATTTAAAAAATAACAGTATGTGTTGTATAGATAAATTGCCGCAGCGGCTAATGCTTCCACGTCCATCTCGATAAACGTTTCGATCACAACTGAATGTCGCCAACGTGTGGTTGCGTTGCAGCCATCGCATGGCCATCGCGCTGGGCCAACGCTGGCCCATCGTGTAGAGGAGCTATTAAGGAAATATTCTAGGGACCTCCTAATAATAAAGTGAGACTCATAATTAATGTTTCTATTGGGTAACAAATATTTCACAACTTTTTATAAGAAACCCCATATGAAAGCAGGATCATTAATCATTAATTCTCAAAATAAAATCCGAAAAAAATCTAAAATTGAAAACAAATCATGATAGGTTCAGTATATGCTAATTTAATAGCTTTTAATTATAAATATTCAATTCCTTTACTCGTATAACTAAACTTAATTGAACCTGAAAACAATTTATTATAGCAATGATAATTAAGAATTCACTTGAAATTATTTTGTATAGAAATCAATTAATGTAAAATTTTCAACACAATTACATTGAGAGCATTTAATATATATTTTTCTATAACAAAATTAGTTTGAGTTGCGATATATTCAAACACTTACTTTAACTAAGGTAGTGCCGCCTCTTAAACGTAGTGATTATATTCCTTTTATTAAACATTAACTAATGTCCACTCTTTATTCTTCATTATATTCATCATATTCATGTTGTTATTATATTCATATAAATTTTATTATTGGACGTTTTGACGGCGAAAGAAAAAACACGGCAATTAATCTAAAATTACAAATTCAACATATGCTGTGACTTAGAAGACTCCACCGTGGGGGTGCAAGAGAATCAGCTAGGTATCCCATATATCCCGTGGGTGTCGTAAGAGACGACAGTGGGAAATGAAACACGAGATTATACAAAACCTGCTAACCTGCCTGCCTGCATAGTGGAATTATGAATAATATGGGCAAATGCCCGGACATTTTTGGCAAATTGGGAAAATTCCTAATAAGCTCCGATAAATTTCTGTCCTTGGTCATTTATCTGGGCATAAATTTTAGTACTAAAATTGATTTACAAGATTTATGTTAGCATTGGAAGCTGGTCTAACTTGTTGAGTTTAGTTAAGATTAATTATTTAAAGGTGTTATTTTATGAATTTGCATACTTTTTTTAAATATGTTTATTTTACAAAACCATGTTTACGACATGTTACGAATTACGCCGCAGCGGGAAAAAATACTTGTACCGAGTAAGTGAATAAGAGGTGCGGGACGAGGGATGCGTCCAGGCAACACCCCCGCCGCCATTTTGTTGTTAGTCTTCCTGTGTCAGTTGCAGTTACCGCACGTGCATTCTATCTGTGTCCATTGTTTGTTGTATTCTAGTTCCGGTTAACATTATGCAATTATTAGTATTAAGTGTGTGATAATTTACTGCTACTTGTAAGCTAAGTCAGTCTTTCTTTTTTTTACCAATCAGATATTCCGAGTAAAAGTAATAAATGTTTAATACCCTCTGCATATTTTTGATATGCAAGAAATAAGAAATCTTGTAAAAAAATGGTTGTAAAATAAGTTACAAATAAACTTACTTATTACTAAAGTGCTTGATTTATGAAAAATATTTGTTGTTTTAGCGCCATGGGAAGATCAAAAAATCATACTATATGGAGGCACTATCATCAATTACCAGACAATTCCGTAAAGTGCTCTTTTTGCGAAAAGCATTATAAAAAGGGGCATGTAATAAAAATGCAGCAACATCTTCTGACCTGCTTTAAATGCCCACAAGCCGTAAAAACAAATTAACGATGTCAATAAGTCACAATCCAACTTAACACCAGAATCCACAACCACTTCATTGAACTCGGAGAACACATCAACCGAGAATATTAGAGATTTAAGAGAAGAGTTTGCGAAGGCTCTATTAATCATGGGAACACCTCTAGCAATGGTAGAACACCCATTGTGGGTAAAATTTTTTAAAAAATTATATTTTAAATTGCTTAATAGAAAGTCTATTGCAACTAAATATCTAGAAAAAATATATAAAGAGATGAATAAAGAAATCAGTGATGATTTAAAAGCATCAAATTTACTACACTTGCAATGCGACGGCTGGACTGATGTTTGCAATGAAGGCATTATACATTTTTTAATATCCAAGCCAGAACCTGTTTTTATAAAAAGTCTGAACACACTTCATAATCGGCATACAAGTGAGTATTTAAGTTGTGAAACTGAAAAAGTAATGAAATCTTACGGAGTGAGTAAATTTGTGGTCCTTATTGGAGATAACGCACGAAATGTCCAAAAGTCATTCGAAATGATAAAAAACAAATACCCACATATTGTGCCATTGAACTGTGGTGCTCACACTCTGAATTAATTGTGCGTTGATGTAATAAAAGCACCCGAAGTTAAAGCTTTCATAGATCTCGCAACAGATGTTATTAAAAATATTAAAAAAAGTCAATTCTTAAGTGCTTTATTAAGTAAAATTAGAAAAGAAAAAAGCTCTAGTCAGAGTCTAAAATTATCCTGTAAGACAAGATGGGGCAGTCATGTCAGTGCACTAAAAAGTCTGAAAATTAATAAAGCTGCACTACAGACTTTAGCTGTTAATGAAAACCTTCAGCCAACGCCCGATATTAAATCTACACTTTTAGATGAAGATTTCTGGTCTATGATAGAACAATCCATCAGTGTTCTTGAGCCTATAGCAGAAAGTATCTTTAAACTAGAAGGCAATGAATTCAACATACATGAAGTATTTATGCTGCTAAGAAACCTGAAATCAAAGTTAGAATTTGTGTTACCAACAATCACAATGCTGGATGACGACAGCAAGGAGAACACATAAACTTATATTGAAAAACGAGTTAAGCAGTGCATAAAACCCATACATTATGCGGCCTACATGTTTGATCATAAATCTGCAGGCATTGAACTAAATCAGGCGGAAGAAACTGAAGCCATGGAATTAATCTATAACCTCGCTGAGCATTGCAACATTGACTGTCTTGCTGACCTGGCTAAATATAAAGCTAAAGAAGGTCTTTGGAGCAAACCATTTACTTGGAAGGCCGCTGAGAAAGTAAATCCCATTTTATGGTGGAAGGGGATATGTGGCTCAAGTCAGTTAAGTTGCACTTAGAGTATTGACTGCACCCTGCACGTCAGCAGCCACCGAACGGTCGTTCAGCACACAGGGATTTATACATAGTGCTAAAAGAAACCGTCTCACATCAGAAAGAGCGGCGAAAATAACTTTCTTATCGTATAATTGGAACTTATTAAATAAAGGTGAAAACATTCATCGTGTTTACAGTGAAGATATTGTTCCAGAAAGGTCCGACATGGAAGACACAGATTATGATATGTTGCACGATGCTGCCATGGAGGGGCACATGCAAAAGGATACGGAATCTTCTCTCAGGGAGGATATATGGGAAGATATGGAACCAGTAGCTTCAACTTCACAACAAATAGCGAATGTGATGATACCGACAGTGATTAGGCTAATGGAACTTGTAATACAATTAAAAAAATACTTTAATTATTATACCGGTCGGGTATTAACAATGATTCTATGCTCTAGTGTGATTTTAATTCGAACTACCTATAATAATATTGATTTTTAGAATGTTTACAACATTGTTCATATTAATGCTAGAAGTCATATTTTCATTATTTGATTAGTACATATTGTTTTATTTTATTAATTAAGCACATATTCTAATATTTTTATATAAAAATTATATTGTTGATTCTTGTTAAAATTTTCACATGACAAGTATATCAATGTTGTTATTCTAAAATAAAAACGTGTTCAATCACGAAAATTCCTTGTTTTATTCCTTTATTAACTACAATTTTACATTAAAAATTTAATTTGACCACGTTTTAGCATTACTTTTTTTGACCTGTAATTGGACATATATTGGGCAAAAATAAATGTATGCCCAAAATGTCGCGTTTTTTTGCCAATTTTTCCCGCCGGGCAGAAACAAATTGCCCATCTCTATATGCAATCGATGACCTTTTTTACCGTTTGGAAAAAAAACAGGCTGTAATGGCGGCTGTACACGCTCGTCTCGTCGAATCGCGCGCCTCTTGCCGCGTGTTCGCTCTTGAATTTAAACTCCATATGCCCGCTGAGATGGACCTAGATGAAACTGTTGCTGCGTTTTGCCTTTGTGGTGTTAGTTATTATACGAGGTTTGATCAAAAAGTAAGGTGACTTTCTATTTTTATCAAAAAATATTTATTTATTCATCAATATTTAATAATTTTTCTCGTAATTTTTTACATATTTACCATAAAAGAAAATTAATAAGCCATCGCAAAGAAGGTGGTGGATGGTTTCTATTTATCGTAACAGAACCATGTACAGTGAATAGAATGTACGCTCTCGTTTTCATCGCGAGACTCACGAGACCCTTTTACTCGAACGCAAAAAACCGATACGCTTCCTAGAGCGAACAAGGGTTGCGAGATACACCGCGACGCGACGAGAGCAACCTGTACACACTCGTACCCAGCCTGTCTCGTGGTGTCTCGAGGAGCGTGTACAGCCGCCATAACATGTGAACGGAGTAGAAGCCTATGGCACTGATATTTTACAAAAAATAAAAACAAAAATTTTGAATTAAACGTTTGAAATTTTTTTGAACAATTACTTTGTCCTTTTGCGCTTGAGCCCATGACCCTGCGAAGGGACAAGGTCAAAGATGCCTACAATTTTTTTTTATTGCCGTTCGTAAAGTAGGGTGGATATGATTTGAATTTCGATAGATTTTAATTAATTTATTTTTTTTATTCAATTTTTTTCTTTTTTTTTTTTTGTAAAATATCAGTACCATAGGCTTCTACTCTGTTCACATGTTACAGCATATTTTTTCCAGACGGTAAAAAAGGTTATCCAGTATATGAAGCCTTACATGGGGTACTATGTCCAGCGGTGAACTTTAGACAACTCTAATAAAATGAATGTAAATGAAAGAAACGCCTAAGCTTATATGTGGGTGGTATGACTCGGTATCTGTCGCCAGGCGAATTCTGAAGGAAGTTGGGCACAAAGACACAAAGAGCACCGCAAGTATTATAAATTCTACTTGCAGTGCCCTCCAGATATTTTCCAACAAATCAGTAAACTGAGGAAGCAATTGGTGAAACTCGGAACACCTCTCGAGAATCGAGTCGTTGAAGGATAAAAGTTTCTCTTTTACCTATAGTTTGTTAGCAGTCTGCCATCAGAAACTTTTTATTATTATAGTATAAGGGTGTCAAACGAGCACGAAATCCACCTGATGGTAAGTGGATGCTGAGGTTTATTTACATTTACATCTATTTTCGTTTAAGGATCAAAATGCAGATGCGTTGTCACCTCTGAGGACTAAGATAAAATGCCTCGTTTCTAGTTAAGTCTTCGGTTCTCTACCCTCACCATACGTAACACATTGCATTGCGCTGCTATTTGACGCTGGAATTCTGTGAGAGCGTGGTCCTTCTCCGGTCGAGCCGACACATTCGTGCTACAACTATACTACTACTAATAAAGCTGCAGCATAGTTCTACTAAGTGTAAACACTGTAAGATGGTGACTACTCTTTTTATGAAGAGACGACTGATGTGGTGTGAAAAAGCTGAAATAGAAGACACTGTAATGTTATATATAATTTTCTAATAAATAGCGTAAGTTTGTAATAAATAATATATTTAATCCAGATTTTGAAGCGGATGTACAATATAAAGGCATTTTGATATTAATAATTGCATGTTAAGTATATTATATAAATAATAACTGTAATATTCACAGGTAAAATATAAGTAAACAAAAAAAATATACACTCAGCTAAGCTGCACTTTAAACTACTTATAATACTTTGGTATTTGTATCCTTATATATTATCTACAATTTCTTCTGCTTAAATTCGAGTTTTAACGACGTAGGTAACAATACTTTAGATCTTTCGCAGTCACAAACTTAACGTTTCCTTCATTACTCAAAATTTAATTTAGTTTTGAAATTATGGCATTTGTGTATTCGCTGCACTTAGCAGTGCCACCGAGGTCACCGGTTAGGGCTTTGCCCTCGCGTAGAACTTCGTAGCAGGCGTTCTGCACGCGGTCCGCGTGCTCGTTGAGTTGTAAATGGCGGAGCATCATGATTGCGGACAGCAGCAGTGCGGTGGGGTTCGCCATATCCTTTCCAGCGATGTCAGGAGCTGTGCCGTGCACCTAATAAAAACGATACTACATTAATAAAATGTATAGCTGTCTCATCAGTTCATTCATTAAATAAGAGGTTTGTAAAATAAATCATATCCATCTCTACCTACAGGGTGAAATCAAAAACATTAGCATTATTTTGAACTAATAATATATTAATGATAGGAATTACACTGAGACTTAAATAACAGAAATCTAAGCTTTTAATATTGCAAGTGAGGAAAATTTCGAAAATTATATTAGTTGAGTACCTTTAAGTGTCCATTGTTGCAGACTCGAAAAAAATAATTATGATAAAATAAATAAGGAAAACACGATATCATGTAATTTTCTCGATATAAAAAAATTGCAAATTAGGCTCTAATTAGTTACATTTCTCCATAACACCACAATATTTTTACGAATAAATTCATGAAATTAGTTTCAAGGCACGGTAAATAATCATATCTAAGTTCTCATAAACAATTTTTTTATCCATAATGAAGTTTTTAAAAACATTGGTGAGCGCCCCCGGACCCCCCAAAAACCCACAAATTTTTTTCCCCAAAAAAAAAAACCCTTTTTTTTTCCCCCCCTTTTTTGAGGTTAAAAGCTGATTAGTTTTTGAAATCGATCGGTAAAGCCGTTGAAGTTATTCCAAAAATGTGTTTCCAAAATTTTTATTTTTGAAATTTCTCAAAATCTACTTGTACATGATATCTTTAGAACGCCGCAAACCGCATCAAACACGCACGCGCACGCCCGCACGCACAAACGCATGCACGCACGCATGCACGCACGCACGCACGCACGCATAATAGAAGTTAAGTAAGCTATGGTATTTATATTTACAAAGTTGTTAATGCAGTGCTTACACTAAATTAACTTGAGGAATACTATGAAAATTTAACAGACAGAATATTTAATATTCAAGCAAATTGGCAATGGAGAAAGACAACATTTAGTGAAAAATCAAAATCAAAAATTCAAATTAGTTTTTCGGTATCGAGTGCTTGTAGCTACGTACCCAAAATAATGCCTTAGTGTTGCTCTTTAATTTTTTTTTTAATTTCCCCGTACTTTTAGGAATGTGTAGGTTTTTAATCCACTTTTAATCAATTTAGTGTGAAATATAACAATTATTTCAGAAAGAAACATTAATGTTTATATTACCCAATGTTACTACTTTCTTTTATGAAATTTGTCAAATATATTCACATAATAAGTGGTGCAACCCCGGTAGCAGAAAAAGTTGTATCCCTCATTGAATAGGTAAACTACAAAAATATTTAAATTGACATACTGTAACTTACGTGTTTCTCCTTTATTTAGTACATGATGTTTAATGTAAAGTTATATTATTTAATTTTACTATTGTATTAATTTATATATATTTATATATATAATAATATTGTATTAATTTCAGTAACTGTTTATTATTTTTCAAAATTTTAACTTTTGGTGATAATTATTCTATACTTTATAAGGATCTTCTTAAACACAATTGAACTTATTATTTGATTCTTAATTAATACTAAATAGCTAGAACTATAATTAAACGAAGTATATCTCTTATCATACTTAAAAATATGAAATTTTAGATTAAAACAGACTTTATTAAAAATTTAATTAAGATGAATAACACATTCAGAAATAAGTTTCTAGTTAACACATTTAATAATTGTTTGTCATAGCACAATTCCTTATCGTCATGCAGGTGTTCAATAAACTAATTGTATTTCGATACGGCAAGGCTCGCACCGCTATCTACTAGGAGAAATATTAAATTTTTATATATATTATGTATATTTTTTATATATTGAAATCAATGTTGAAAACTTTCGCCACTTGGTTAAGAATTCTCTATCTTAAAAAAAACTAATCATGAAATATTTCCACACACCTTGGGGTAAATCAACGTTATAAAATGAAATGATAATATCGATTTGTTTCAATTTTTTATTTCATAATTCATATGAACTAAACAGCACGAAGGAATGTTTTATTAAATCAAAGCTAATCATCAAAGCGATTTGGTTTTTTTAAATAAATAAGATGGATTCTAATCTCTAAAGCTTAGCTTCTTTTTTCTCAGATTACATCTGATAATTGGGTTCTAAAGTTAAATAATATATTAACATTTCACAATTTGGGCTAAATAAAAAAAAACACTTAACATGGCCAAAGGATCTAGTAGCCTCTAGACGTCAAAATCGGTATCTAAAAAAAAATTTAAAGTACCATTATATATCACTATATTCGTAAATACATCACAAAACAAAGAACGAAAATATCTAATAAACTAGATTTTGTTTAATTATCTATTGTCACACTTAAACCAACATCACAAAAATATTTAGTAAATACATTTTAAATACTAGAGCCAAATCGACAAACACTTTTAGTGCCAAATATAACGCCTTATGAAAATAAATTCAAAATAAACAACTCAGATACCGCATATTTAAATACTGTAATCACATTACAAATTAAGTCCATTTTTAAAATTTAGGACAGCAAAAACATATCGAGTTTATATAATACATTTACAAAAATAATAGGTGCATAAATCGTTTTGAGAAAACATTTCCTAGTTAATTAAATAAAATCACTTGTAAAATAAATGGTAACATTGATAAAAATAAAATACATAATGTTCATAAACTCCAAAAAAAATACATAATGTATTTTTTATAAGTTGTATCAAAATATGGCAACTTTAAACTTTTAGGCTTCAGAGTCAGAATTACAACTCAAGTTGATTATAATACTTCAATTTTTTATTTATATAAACCACATACAACTTTGTTATACTTATATACAATAAATATACATAATATAATTATAAAACAATATAATTTAATCCATGTGATATTAACATTTGATTTAATTTTAAGTAACATGTTCAAAAATTTAGAGTCAAGGCAAAAAACATGGCTAAATTTTTAGCTCCTTGGTTGGTAATATTGTTTTATGCAAATATTTTAAGTCAACTTGATTGCAAGTGATCACATTAGCCCAAGTCCCCACATCTACTCTACAAATTGGCTTTGATTCAAAATAGATTTCAAATGCATACAATTATTGTAGTGCCTTATATCAAATAGCAACATCATTTTATGGCAAATATTCTTTAACCTCATTTAAATAGACTTGTTACAAATTGAAAAGAATAAATTATAATGAAATGCATAATGTAATAATACTTCTTTGGTGGGATAAACTCAAAATTAAAGAATTATCCAAATTCATAAATTCACAGAAATGCCATACATATATATACTGTCCAAGACCGACGGTAAATTTATCTATTTCATATCATTTGCCAGGCCACCATGGGGGTGTTCAAACTCTAATTATATAATAATATGTAAGAATATTAGTCATGACACAGCCCTTCTTTGGTTCACCTCCCTCGTAAGTTTAAAAGACGTATAATTATTGATTTCAAACAGATTGAAAATATAAAATAGGTTTGTTGCTGGCACAAATACTACATTGGTAACAAAAAAAAACAAATACCACAGATTGCATTAAATACATTCTTCTGATGAGACGGTATAAACCAATGAGATTTAAACTAATGTGGAATAACGAGTTTTCTGTGACCTAACAAGAAGCAACCCCATAGCGACCCCGCAACAATGCGACAAATGAAGTCTAGCCTAGATGTTTAATGATCTCATTGGTGTAATCGGTGCAACTGCTGTGTCCCCCCAAGTCTTCGGTCAGGACTCGTCCTTCCTTGAGAACAGCGAAGCAGGCGCCCTCTATCCTGTTCGCGTAGTCGTTCAAGTGCAGGTGACGCAGCATCATAACCGAAGACAGAAGCAAAGCGGTAGGGTTCGCCTTGTCTTGACCGGCGATAGCTGGCGCGGTTCCGTGCACCTTTAAGAATTGGTTAATAAGGTCAGGCCAGCCCCATATGGATTTTATATTATGAAAAATTTAAATGCACAAATATGACTGTATTACTTTTAAAACCCACACCTGTTAATATTAA